CTGTGCGCCTAGAGCCCACGCTCCACAACAAGAGAAGCCACTGCGATGAGAAGCCCACGCACCACAACGAAGAGTAGCCCCCGCTTGCCGCAACTAGAGAAAGCCTGCACGCAGCAACGAAGACCCAACACAACCAAAAATAAATAAATAAAATAAATAAATTTTTATTAAAAAAAAAGTTTCTGCAGAAGAACACTTGGAGGAGTTTGTGATCATTAGAAAGGGGAGTTGCCATTATCCCCCCACCCCGTCCCCCACTCCCTGCCAAAAAGAAACACTAAAAGTGGATTAACCATCCACTGGTGTTAAAGGAAAATAGAAATATGACATATCTCAGTACTTAGGCAGAAGTTTGTGTTTGATGGTTTTCAGATGCAAAAGTGACTTTTCTTCTTCTTGAAATTTAAACAACTCAACCGTGGATTTAAAATCTGGATGGTTCACCACCAGCAGGTACACGGTATTATCTGAGAAGAGATTAAAAACAAAAATGGAAACATTAATCGAGCTGTCAGCTGTCAGCCCTGTCTCCAGAAAGCAATTTCAACCCACCTCCAACCAGTACTTAGGGTATCAGGCAGATGGAATATTTTCATCTCTTTTGTAGAGAAGCATTTGTGATTGCTCCAAAGAAAAATGGCTAAAGGAAGACCCAGTGACAGTCTCTAAAAACTCCAGACTCCACAAGGGGAAAAAAAATCCTCAACTTAAGAATGAGCAGCCCTTGACACTAAAACTCCAAAGAGCTTATTAAGCTTTCTACTGCAAATGGTCTCAGCAAGATGCAGCACTGAGATAAAAGAGATAAAAGATGTGAATATCAATAAGAGAAGGTGTGCTCAGGTGTAATTTACACAGTGTGAGATGATCAATTCCATAAAAAGAGCACGCGAGAGATAATATCAAAGGGAAGCAGATTCTGGGAGTCAGTGCAACTCTGAGACATGAAAGAGACCAGTTTAAGTGGTCAAGAAGGTCTGATCAGAACCAGCAAGTGAAGTTAGGCCATAGTCTTTGCCTTTGGAAGCAGTGAGTCTTTGGAAAGCTTTGACGTGACTGAATTGGTGTTTAAAGGAAAATAGTGTAAAGTTCAGGAGGTTGAATTGAAGAAATTTGAACACAAAAGCCAGCTATGAAGCTTCCCATTAGTCCATTTGACAAGCAAATGTTTATTTTAATTGGTGCTAAGTGCTACAAAGGGAAAACAAAACCAGATAAAGGGATGGAGAGTAATGAGATGTCTTCTTCACAGGAGTCAGGGAAGTTCTGAGAAGATGATGTCAAAGCAGAGATCTAACGAAATGAGAAACTGAACTATGTGAATATCTGGGGAAAGAGTGCTCCAGGCTGAAGGAAGAGAGTGTGCAAAGGGCCTGAGGCACCCGTTTCCTTGGAACACTTAATGGTGAGGTTGTGGCTGGGGGAGTGAAAGAGTGGGAATACTGAAGCCACAGAAACAGAAGCCAAGGCCAGTCTTCAAGGCTTAGGATAGGGATCCAGGGCTTACTTATAGGGGGCTTTCAACCAAGGAGTAACATGACCTGTGCGTATGGCAGTAATCCAGGCACGTGGAGTTAAGGGACTGGACCAGGAAGATGGCACTGATAGGAAAAGACAAGAAAGGACAAGAGAGGCATTTGACAGGAAGTATCAAAAGTCCCTGGTGATAGCTGAGGAATGAGGGAGTCGGAAATCAAACATAAGTGAGGACTAAAACCCGGATTCACATTTTGCACAGCAGATTCCACCTCTAGGAATTTATCCTAAGGAAGTATTCACAGAAGACATATTACAAGAATGTTTATTTTGGCATTGTTTTCAATGAGCATAAAGGTGGGAACAGGTTTAATATCCATCAACAGATGAACTATATTATGGTACTCCCACACAACAAAATTCTAAAGAGCCATTGTAAAGTAGCTCTAAATGCACTGTCAGAGAAAGGAATCCATGATGTAGTGTTTCATACAAAAGCAATTTATATGAGCACTTGTGTAATATGTATGTGGTTACTTTTCCCACCTTAATTTAAAAGAGCATGCACACACCCAACACCCTATTTCTTTGTACTTAAAATATTTTGAAAATAAAATATAGTGTTGATAAATGGGTGAAGAGGTCATTGAAAGGGACAGACATATGGATATATGGACATATTTCATATATACATATACGGAAGAAGGGAAGTCATATGGGGTAAACATGAAGAATGGAAGGTAAGAGGATAAAGAATGACTTTTCGACATTTTGAGTTTAATGTGTCTGTAGGAGAGGAACCCAAAGAGAAGTATCCAATAAGCTGAAGGGGGGGAACTGAAGAGTTGATTAAAATCATCATCGTCGTCCACTTTGGGGGCGTTCTCCTAGAGAGCCGGCACAGCTACAGCTGTGACACGGCTGAATGAGGGACAAAATAATAAAGAGGGGAGACAACCTGCAGCAGAATCAGAATGAGGACAGATAAGTGTACTGGAATATCAGGGAGGGGCGATTGATCAGTGTAAAATGGGATATGGAGGAACGAAGTGGGGAGGGAGGGAGCAGAGGAGGGGAGTTGGAAGAGAGAGAGAGACCTTGCTGATAACTTTCAAGGCAGCAATTTTAGCCCGCCAAAATGGGAAAAGTCTGCAGGGACCAAAGAAGGGATTGTCTGATGAGGAGATGGACGACAGGGTGATTCTCAACCCTGGTCTCACATTTTTATCTCCTGGAGAGCTTGTAACAAGCACTACCGCCCAAGCGTCCCTCAGACCAACTGAATCAGAATATTTGGGGCTGGGACCTGGACATCAGGCTTTTTAAAGCTCTCCAGGTGCTTGTGTGTGCAACCGGGATTGAGAGTTAATGTAGAGACCAAGGAAATGGCTGCAAAAAGAAGGGAAGAAGTGGGATGAAGGCATAAGGGATGGGGCAACATGTTAAAATGTGGAGAAGCAGTTTGAAGACTACTAGAGGCACCAGTGGGCAGGGAGGCATTGAAAGTGACCATCCGTCAGTGGATCTGTAGGTTGCAAGTGTCTTACGTTAGAAAAAATCTATGCCTGTAAATGCCTGGATCTGTAAAATTCTTTAAGTTGGAAAAACCCATAATGATTAGAGCTGAATATCATTACTGTAGTAATTACAGAGATAATGTGAATGTTGGTATTTTTAAAAATTAGGTGTTTTGCAAATCTCAAATATTTTAGCACTCAAGCCTTTACGTGGTTATAACTTTATATCTAATTAACATGAGGGTAAGTTTAAAACCCAGAGTAAGAACATTGTTCATGATTATACTTTAGTTGGATGAAAAGAAATATTCTTTCATTAACATTTTTCTGTTTTTTTTTAAATTTGGCTTTATTTTTAATAAACATTAAATAAACATTGTTACCTTCATTTGTGAACGTGCTAATCCCATGAGGGTTAAATGAAGACGAATCAAAGTTACTTCCAGTGATCCTCAGTTCCAACACTGTTGTATCCTCTTCAACAGTGGACATGATCCGCTGTTCATGTCCGTCAGAAGTATTTTTCCAGGCTTATTGGGTTCAAAGCTCTTTATTCCAGGATATTTTAATCCCTTATAGAATAATGGAGGAGAAAACACAGGCACTTTATAAATACTTCAAATGTGGATGGAGGTGGTAGATGGCTCATGGGTTCACACTGTCTGGTTCCGGCCACAGGGCCACATGGGAAGCCTCTTAGTTGGCTTGTGCAATAGGCCCACGGGGTCTCTGGGAGCCACATGCTCCACCAGGTGACCCCACACAACAGGCACAGACCCTTCTGTGTGTGTCGAATATCACAGCTATCAAGCTACCAACCCATGGCAAAGATAAAAAAAAAAGAAGAGCAGACCAAAGAGACATTTATGAATGGGCTTCAATAATATAAGCAAGGAACACGGACAGAACATTGGTTATGGTTTTTAAACCGTCCCCTAGCAGGTTCATTGGAAGCATCTCAGAGACGAGGTTTAGGGGAAGTCTAGTAAGCAAAGGGAACAGCTCCTTTCTTAGCCTGAAGGTAGAACAACGACACATATCTATTTGTTTTACATATCTGGGTCCCATATAAGATTTTGCTGGAAATATACGTTCTGTTCCTTTAAAAAAGAGTTTGTAAGACACTTCTGCAGAGGATGACTAGTCTTCCATCTTCATAGGAGAAAACTGGATTGAATGAACTACGACAGGAAGCAAAGGGTTTTCAATGGCTGGATGACTTGTATACTGTATCCTATCAACTCTGTTTTCCTAGACTAGGTTGTTGACTTCTTTTGTTTTGAGCTATATCACCAACCGCAATGATCTATACGCAGGAGAGGTTCAACAGCATGGTGGCTTTTCTCTTCAAAGTTTGGAAATTGTGGAATAAAGTATCAACGATTTTAAATTAAAAGGCTTATTCTGAAAAGTATAAAAAAAGATAAAAATCTAAATGATGTGGGAGGGGATATATATACACACACGTACACACATATATACACTCAATTCAGCAAATATGTGAATGTACCACTTAAGTGCTTCAAGGAATAGACAGATGAACGGGAAGCCATTCTTGAACTCACTGGACTCACAAATTGCCACAATGGAAGACAGGGGCATATAAGAGTTCACTGTACACACAGGAATACAAATATACATAGAACATATACTATCAAAATCATAACATCAGTATGAATGCATATACGGTTTGTTTTTTGAACCATATCACTGCTCATTTTACTTGAAGATGGGCATTGGTATAAAAAAGGCTGAAACAAAAGACAAGCTGCCAGTCCTAGAAAATGATTCAGAGCACAGTAAGTGAAAGGAAACACTTACGGAGCTAATGAAAGCCAGTCCATTACGAAGTATCTCCAAATCTTCAGAGCCAGTTTCTGTCAGAAAAGAGAATAGACAGCACAGATTGTTTCATACTGTTGCAGGAAGCTAAGGGTCCTTTTCTTTATCACTCTTAACTTGAAAATAGGGCTACATATTTAGCTCTTCTTTGATAGGTTCATTTATTTATTCCAGTTGACTACTGTGATTATCTAAAAATTAAAAGCGATTCATATATTGAAATAAAGTATATTTAAAATGTACACTTAATATATTTGTTTTAAATTGATGGGCTAGAACTTTTTCCCTTAGAGCCCAAAACCTCTTAAAGTACATGGAAATTCACTAAATGTACAAAAGGTACAGTAATTTGAAAATAGCCTGCTGTTTTTGAAAGACATAAACTCCCAATATATGTTGATACTTAATAATTCCAAACCAAATAAACTCTTTGAAAACCCTATTGGAAATATAAACAAATTCCAAATGCTTTGGTTAAAATGGGGATACATTTCATATGCCAAATATGCTTTTACTATTAATATAAACATCAATAAAATATCACCAAATTAGTTATGCTTTAAGTACATGTAAATTTTTTGGATTTCAATCAATCTCAAGACATATGGGATTTTTTATTTGGTATTAATAATTTTAGTGGAGGTGTTTGTTTTTTCAAATATCCAGTGATATTTAATATCAATATCATGTTTGTTTTCTAGAAAAAAAGATTACACTATAAGATATCTGACCAAGCTTACTGATGCTAACTGCATTAAGTCATGTGGTCTAGCCTTTCCAACCTCAGTCAACTGAGATAAATAATTCTAAAAAAACCCCTCAAAACATAACAAAAGCAGATTGGGACTGACATATACACACTACTATATATAAAATAGATAACAAATAAGAACTTGCTGTACAGCACAGGGAACTCTACTCAATACTCTGTAAAGACTTATATGGGAAAAGAATCTTTAAAAAAAGTGGATATATGTATATGTATAACTGATTCACTTTGCTGTACACCTAAAACTAACACAAATTGTAAATTGACTATACTCCAATAAAAATTTAAAAAAAAAATAACAAAAGCATGAATGTCAAACAAGTTGTTCTCAAATAACAAAGCTGGTTGGTTGAAGCCAGATGGGGACTTGAGTCCTCCAACACTCCTGTTGGTTGCCTACCAGCTGCTATTCCCTGGCCCTTTTATCTTTGCTGAAGGGTCAGTCTTCCACAAAGGAGGCCCATAATTACCTTCCCAGCTTCCTTTGCAGCTAGGGCACCAGCCTGTTGTCTAGCTCTGATTAATGAGATCTAAGGGAAGATCTGCTGAGAGTTTCTGGGAAAAACTGTTTTCCCAGATATTAAAAGAGAGATGCATGAGGAGAAGCCCTGTGGTAACTGCATAGGTGTGTGAGGTCTTTTAAAAATTTTATCCTTTACTCATTGCTTTTTATTCCTCTTTTGTCCCTCCTCTGCCATCTGCTCAGGTTATATTACCATAAAATCAAACACTGTCTATTGTTTTTGCTAAACAGACCAAACAAAAACAAATGATCAAAAAACAGTCAAAAACATTGACAGTAGGTTGGTAAAGTCAAAAGTCAAGTAATTTGGTATTCATAACTACCTACTGACTTAATAATACTCTCCTGATTCGTAGTTTTATTTTTGAACAAAATTTAACAAGTATATTAATCAAATAACTCGCAAGATAATACTTCAAGCGAGATACTGCCTCCTCTCAAATACTTACCTATTCCTTTTCCTAATTTACAGTTAGGAAGTTCTACCAATTTTACTCTTGGGAAGCATTTTTTCTTGTTCTGGGAGAGAAAAAAAGGAATCAACTATGCATAAAACTGTCCAGAAATTATAATTAAGTTGCAAAGGTAAGTAGCCAATAAAGTTCTCCTTAACTGTACTTTTTGCCTGGGTTTCAACCCCAGGGTTAGTGGTCCCTGAAACTTGAGCAATTCTACCAGACCAGACCTGAGCCAGACACATGGGTCCCTGGGCACAACATTCAGTATTTATTTAGCAGAGGTGGGTAGATACACAAAGGAGATACATAGTGTCCTCTTGAGGACTCTGCGCTTTGGCAGAACAGGAACTATTTCATCAGCTGTGTCAGGAGTCCTAGGTGGAAATTTGGGTTAAATAGCAACAGGGTTCCAATTTATTCCATTGATGTTTTAGGGCTGCTGACAGATGGGCCTCCTGCCCATCTGCCCAGTGTGGCCCCAAAGCCTGGACTGGACATCTATCTGCTTTCGGGTGTGTTACTTGAAAAATGCAGGTGGGCTTAAAGGATTTATAACTTCAGAAAATCATACCCAAGGCCAACATATAAAAAGCCATTGCACATACACACACCCAAAAGTGACTTACTAAATCTGAGTGCATAAACATTGCGGGGAACATTTGAGTGAAGGACAAAGGAAAAAAGAACAGATGTGAGAAGGAAGTACCAGCAGGCTGCCTGCGCAGCACAGAGCTATTGACGCAGCATTTGAAAGAAATGGACCACAACATTAGCACAGCCAAGAGAGCTAAACAATAAACATTTTTTGAGAACTAATGATACAATACAGTCAGAGTGAGCAGCAACAATTATCCAACAATTCCTAGAAATCTTATTTGACTAAAGACAGACAGGCAGAGAAAGTTTTCACTTTGCCTTACTGATAATTTAGTCTCATAGAAGGAGGAAGATGGGCTAAGGGTGACTGGACACTTTGCATAAAATTTCTAACAATATGGTATAAAATAATAGGAATTTGGAGGTGACTGATTATTTCATCTTTTCATTCAGATAAAAATGTAGCATGCTCCTACTATCATGCCGTTCGCTATCAATTCTACCCTCTACGAGGGTCTGAGCTAAGAGGTTAGCAGTGGGGTCTAGTAATCAGCTTTGTTAAAGCACCACAGTTCACCTTGAGGCACAGAGTAGAGAACCTGGGTGCTAGAGATCCAGAGGTGAATGGATAGATGACGAAGACCTGGCCTGCAAGGAGAGGGTGGGTCCCTGAATGATGGACACAAACTTAGAAAGCAGACTTCAAAGGAAACTTGGGATCTGCCCCCATGACCTGAGAAACAAAAAGATATTTCAACAATAGAAATCTGACATTATAATCAAAAAAGTTTGCAATAAAGAAATAAAAGGGAAAGTTTAGAGCAGTGCCTTACCAACTTTTCAGACTAAGACCCACGTTAGGAAAAGCATTTTACATGGTAGAAACACACATCACACACACACACACACACACACACACACCCCTGAAACAAAGTTCACAAAGTGATACTCACCCTAATACATTTAATAAATTCTTAACTTTTCTACTCAATTCTATTTCATTTATTTAAAGATGCTGGTCATACAAATAACAAATATTGGTGAGGATGTGTGTGTGTGCGTGTATATATATATGTACACACACAATGGAATATTACTCAGCCACAAAAAATAATGAAATTTGCCATTTTCAACAACATGGATGGACCTGGAAGGTATTATGCTTAGTGAAATAAGTCAGGCATAGAAAGACAAATACTGTATGTTATCACTTATATGTGGGATCTAAGAAATAAACAAATGAATGAAAATAACAGAAGAGAAACAGACTCACAGATATAGAGAACAAACTAGTGGTTACCAATGGGAAGAGAGAAGTGGGGAGGGGCAATATAAGGGTAGGAGAATAAGAAGTACAAACTACTATGCATAAGATAAATAAGGTACAAGGATATATTGTACAGCACAGAGAATATAGCCAATATTTTATAATAATTATAAATGGAGTATAATCTATAAAAATACTGAATCACTATGTTGTACACCTGAAAATAATATATTGTGAGTCAACTATAATTCAATTTTAAAAATAATAAAATAGGGCTTCCCTGGTGGCGCAGTGGTTGAGAGTCCACCTGCCGATGCAGGGGACGCAGGTTCATGCCCCGGTCCAGGAAGATCCCACATGCCGTGGAGCGGCTGGGCCCGTGATCCACGGCTGCTGAGCCTGCGCATTCGGAGCCTCTGCTCCGCAACGGGAAAGGCCACAACAGTGAGAGGCCTGCGTACCGCAAAAAAAAAAAAATAAATAATAATAATAATAAAATAAAAATAAATAAATAGGTAAGTGTTGATCATAATTTACTAAATTGATTTTGTGATCCACCATTTTGAAAAACACTGGTCTACAGAAAGCTCCGTGAATATACACAGAGTGCCCCAAGGAACTCAAAGGACAGGTACAAGATGTTAAGAGTGGAGGTCATAATCAAGGACATTACAAAGAGTGACATAGAAGAAGAGTCAGTAACGTGCAATCAGTGAGTGGGTCAAGACTTGGGAAAAATGCCAAGGATAGCCAAATTAGCTTTTTTAGAGTCAAAATCATACAGGAAGAAGAGGTATGCAGCCTGGCTTGCAAGGTTCATTAAATGTGATGTGTTCACAGAGGGCAGAGAAAAGCAGAACTGATCAGCCTGTATTCTAACTTAGGCTTCTCTCTCATGGAAGTTGATCTCTAACCTGGAAAAGGCAGAATAATCACAGTTAAAGGGAGCCCACAGTAGGTAAGGAGGCATTAAGTGAGCACTCAGTTGCTCTGGGTTCAAATTTGTGGCCAAAAGAAGTCAAATCTCAACAGACTAATCATTACTAGTACAGTTCAGGTACTGTAATTACTCTGCTTTAATCCTCAAATCTCTCCCTGAGGTATTGTTTTCCCTATTTTATAGATGACTAAGATTAAGTGGCTTTTCAAGGCTACAAAATTAGGAAGTGGCTGAGCTGGGATTAGAACTGAAGTATGAATGCAAAGATCACATTTGGTCCTCTGCCCAGCAAAATTTACCGGTATCACCACTTCCAAAAAGCTGAAGGAAGTACCAGAAGACAATTCAGCTTGCGTTACTGTAAGCCAGCTCATATTTTTCTATTTTATTTTCAATTATCAGGAAATATCTTGTCAAGGGCTTAATTAAGTCCAAATGTTCCAGGTCCAAAGGATAAAGTTCAATGTTTGAGATGGGTCGCTGATTTATAAGCTGCTGAACTCTGGCCAGAAATCACATACTCCCTGCTATGAATTATTCTTTGCAAATACATGCCTGCTCCTTACAAAAGAAAGCAAGGATCTTTAGCTATGCATTAAGAAATCCATTCTGGAACTTTCCTTGGGACCATATGCATCCTCGCCCGGTCTACCTTCTGCCACTGCACACCCCTCATTATTCAATATTCCTTATTGGGTCCTACTATCCTTAAAAAGATGGAATTGGGATTTGAAATCAGGTGCCATGACACCAAGGACCCTTTTCTCTACATCACTTACTTATGCAAGTTTTCCCTCCACCTAGTCCTTCCTGCTAATCCACCTGGAAGATTCTTACGATGTCTGCAGCTCCTACTGATACTCTGTGACAGGATTAGTAACTCCTTCATTTATCCTCATGAACCTTCACATATACATCTACAGAGGCTCTTACTATATTGTTTTACAGTAATCAGTTTGTGGTCTCATTGCTCACAGTAAACTCTGAAATCTGTGAGTGAATACTGCATCCTATTCATCTCTGTGACTTCCCACATGAATACAGCACTCGAGGAAAAAAGAAGGTACTTGGTAGATGTCTGCTGAAGTGTTTTGTGGAATTAGTAGGCTAGTGCATCAGATGGAGATGATGTTGGTTGCATTGATAGAGGAGGGCCAGTGAGTTATTCGTCCTTAGCCTATGGTCTCAGTGAGGTATTATCACAATATATATTCAAGTACCGCTCATTAAGTGGATCATTCATAGGTAGATTTTTTTTAATAGATCTTTATTGGAGTGTAATTGCTTCATGATACTGTGTTAGTTTCTGTTGCACAACAAAGCGAATCAGCCATATGCATATACATGTCCCCATATCCCCTCCCTCTTGAGCCACCCTCCCGTCCTCCCTATCCCACCCCTCTAGGTCATCGCAAAGCACGGAGCTGATCTCCCTGTGCTATGCCGCTGCTTCCCACCAGCCAACTATTTTACATTTGGTAGTGTGTATATGTCGATGCTACTCTCACTTCACTCCAGCTTCCCCCTCCCACCCCGTGTCCTCAAGTCCATTCTCTATGTCTACCTCTTTATTCCTGACCTGCAACTAGGCTCACCAGTACCTTTTTTTTTTTTTTTTAGATTCCATATATATGCGTTAGCATACGGTATTTGTTTTTCTCTTTCTGACTTACTTCACTCTGTATGACAGACTCTAGGTCCACCAATCTCACTACAAATAACTCAATTTCGTTTCTTCTTATGGCTGAGTAATATTCCATTGTATATATGTGCCACATCTTCTTTATCCATTCATCTGTTGATGGACACTTAGGTTGCTTCCATGTCCTGGCTACTGTAAATAGTGCTGCAATGAACACTGTGGTACATGACTCTTTTTGAATTACGGTTTTCTCAGGCTATATGCCCAGTAATGGGATTGCTGGGTCATATGGTAGTTCTATTTTAAGTTTTTTAAGGAACCTCCATACTGTTTTCCATAGTGGTTGTATCAATTTACATTGCCACCAACAGTGCAAGAGGGTTCCCTTTTCTCCACACCCTTTCCAGCATTTATTGTTTCTAGATTTTTTGATAATGGCCATTCTAACTGGCATGAGGTATCCCTCATTGTAGTTTTCATTTGCATTTCTCTAATAATTAGTGATGTTGAGCATCTAGTCATGTGCCTCTTGGCCATCTGTATGTCTTCCTTGGTGAAATGTCTCTTTAGGTCTTCCACCCATTTTTTAACTGCATTGTTTGTTTTTTTGATATT